TGTTATCTTCAAAGTAGTTGCTCAGCTTGCAAGATATAGGCGTACAACACTGACCAAACTATATAAGCACAAACCATCCCTTTCAATAACCTAATAGAAATTAGTAGAGAGGCTGGGGATTTAGCTCAGTGGCACAGCACCTGCCTGGCAAGTGCAAGGTCGTGAGTTCAATTCCTGGTACTGGAAAAAAAACTAAAAAAGAAAAAAAAAAGAACAAGAAATTAGTAGAATGATGTTATGGTTGATACATTGTGCCTATACTAGGTTGTTGTAGTTTACCATTGATTTTAATAACAGGGCATGGTAATACTAAAAAGTGCCCTAAGGGATCTCCTGCACTCCATGTATATTCTTTCTTCCCTCCATTGTGGAGTAGTAGTACAATTTCCCCTTGATAGTCTGGGTTGATCACCCATGACAACACTGTGACTCCATTTTTAGCTTGTTTCCTCAGAGGCATGAGGAGACCAAAATGACCGGGGGTAGGTCTTTACTTCCAATTCAATGGTATCATTGTTGTGCTTCTTGGTACAAGCCTTCCCCCCTCTGGAACTAAGACTTCTAAGGAACATAAGGTTGTGGGGCCAGGAAGCAAAAACTTTGCTCGTGGATCACTAGGAGTAATAGTGAGTGATTCCATTCCTATTTCCACCCCTTTATTCCTGGACCCATAAATCCTGGCTGCAGGAGACACAGTGTCATATAGTGGGCGCTGATTCAAAGCATGCACAGCCTTTTGTAGTACCTTACCCCAGCCCTGCAAGCTATTGCCACCTAGCTGGCACCTTAACTGTGGCGCCAACTGACCATTCCACCTATCAATCCAGCCATGTCTGGATGGTAAGGAACATGGTAAGATCAGTGAATACCATGAGCATGAGCCATTGCTTTACTTCTTTGGCTGCAAAATGTGTTTCTTGGTCAGAGGCAATGCTATGTGGAATTCCATGATGGTGGATAAGACATTTGGCAAGTCCAAGGATGGTAGTTTTGGCAGAAGCAGTACATGCAGTGAAGGCAAATCCATATCCAGAATACATGTGTATGCCAGTGAGGACAAAGTGCAGTGCCTTCCATGATGGAAGTGGTCCAATATAATCAACCTGCCACAGGTCACAAGCTGATCATCCCAGGGAATGGTGCCATATCAGGGGCTCAGTTGTGGCCTCTGCTGCTGGCATATTGGGCATTTAGCAGTGGCTATAGCTAGATCAGCCTTGGTGAGTGGAAGTCCATGTTGCTGAGCGCATGCATAACCACCATCCCTGCCACCATGGCCATGTGTTCATGGGCCCATTGGGCAATGACAGGGCCGGCTGAAGAAGGAGGTTGGCCACTATGCACAGAATGGGTAATCTTATTACTTGATTATTAAAGTCTTCTGCTGCTGTCACCTTTTGATGAGCATTTACATGGGAAACAAATATTTTTACCTCCTCTACCCACA